TAAACTACTTGTGTTCGTGGAAGGCGTTGAACGAGCACAAAAAGTGGGGAATACGTGAGTAGGCTTTGTTGTGTAGATACTTAGCTTTTTGCGTCTCATACAACGTATCATATAATCCTCCAGCGGTTCATCCCTCCTACTGGCGACATTACTCTTCGCTTTTCCTACTGTTCGCATCGTTGTCCGCATGGTGCATCATATTCTTCAATCAGCCACACAAAGAAGAACGGTTCCTGTTTCCCATTTATCCACTCATTGCGTTGATGGCTGCTGTGTCTCTGGATGCTGCTGAAAGGTGCTTTTTCTTGTATTTTTCTTTCACTATTATTGCCACATCTTTCACAGGCTAGCATCTCGCTTTGTGCATTCTCTTTCATACCTGAGTTGGCTAGTTGTGCTGCTTTTCATTGTTCTATCACTGTCAAGAACTTATGCACTACATAAGAATTTCAGTGCTCACATTGAGGTATCCGCTAGAATAGTTCGCTTTCCTCAGGCTAATTTCTATATCTGTTGAGGTGTATAAGAGCTTCAACGAGCATCTCATGGACCATCAACAGCAACTGGACTTTTCGAAACGTGGGGTAAGCAAAGCTTTGTTTCTCGCCCGCAGCTGGAATGTAACTCTTGAAGGATCCACTGCGTTTGTGTGTGGGGAAGGAATGGTACCGATTCCCCTCTTCTTTCTTTCTCCCTCAGACTGCCCTTGATGCCCGTTCTAGAAAGCGAGGTTATTGATTCATCTTATCGTATTTATGCAATTTATTTTTTCACGATTATCACGTCGCCAACTTCTTAATTCAGGAATTCACCTACATTTTCTCAAAAGCGAGTTCTCCGGGCTTCTCCCAAAATACTTCCCGCAAGGAAGGTTGCCATTTATCACTCGACGTATTCCCACAGAAATGAACGATATGAACCAAGAGGAAATGTCGCGGTATGTAAAAAATCATAACTTATTATCATGTAATATTTTCGTTATCCAGATATGTTCCACTGGAAACATGTGATTACATAGTGGACCTGGAAATTCCCGACCAAACTACATCTCTAGAGCCTAATTTTGGACTCATGGTTAGTTTTTGCAATGCTTTAGTCAGCGATGGCTTCTTCTATCATGAGACTTGGCAAATGCTAATAGATGACGCCTGGCTAATTCAGGTGGACAGCTACGTTCGCTTGCACTCGCATCCGTTTCTGGTGGCATCGAAGTCTCACTGGCTATATAGAGCCTTTTTTGTACCTTACCTATCCGCGAAGCATACGTCATTCGCGAATTATACGCTTTACCAACGGATACCTCCTACTGTTAGAGTTTAGCACTTGAGTAGATGATCTATGTAGCAATTGCTCAATAGGGTTATCTCATTGTTGGGGACGACGTGTCAGTTCCCTTTAGCTCTATATGAGAGTGAATAGAATTGCCATACAT